TGATGGACGGTTGGTTGCTCGAGCTCAGTTTACCAAGTCTTTGTAGTTTTGTGTAGTCGTCAATTATGCGTCTGTGTTTTAAATCCACCAGGAGACCGTGATGTTTCAAGAAGTCTGCACCGATAATGGGTTGCTGTACCTTTGCGACTGTAAATTTCCATGTATATGGACGTCGTAGTCTGAGGTCCAGAATTAGTGTTTTCGTACCGTAGGTCGCAATGGCTGTGCCGTCTGCCGCATAAACCCTGAAATCGGAAGGAGCGACATTTCCTTTTGCCGAACTAAGCGGCAATACGGATATGTCCGCTCCGGTATCGATTAGGAACGCTAGTTTGTTTTTATGATCAGTAATTACTAGACGACTACTTTGCACGTCACCCAGCGTCAAAACTGCGGGACGTGCACTTAGTTTTCCGTCGGCGTGGCAGTGACTGTATTTCTTTCGCTGGGTGTAGATCTCCATGGACAAGGCGTTGTGCATCTGCAAGCCTGTTGTCCGAATCGACGATGGTAGTAACATAGGCCGGTATTCCTGCAGCTGGTGATTGTTGTCGAGCTGTAGGACGTCTGTTGCAAGGTCTTGAACGTCTTCTCCAAGGTTGATGTTCTCGTTGGAGCCTTTCCATCTTCAATGCTGTCATTTGTCTGGTTAGCTCTGTGATTCTTCAGTCGAGTTCCTGTCTGGTGATTTCTATTTGTTTAATCAGCCCTCGACATGTAACTGCCATATTATTATCCTGGACGTTATTGGTTTCAAAAGTTGCATTTCTTTGGCTCATAGCTGAAACTTGAGAAGATTTGAATTCTGTTATTTTATCAGCTAGGGCTGCCAGTCTTGCCAAATCATTGCTGTCGCTGGCCATCAGGATATCATGTAACGATGTGGGTATTTGTTCTAGAAAAACGGTTTTTAGAATTGAATCTGGTACGTTATTTCCAGCTAAATTTCTTAATCTTTGTAAAAAATGTGATGGTTTTTCGTCACCCATTATGCATGTTCTCAACAGATGTCTAACTTTTGATTCCTCAGATTGACTAAATAATTCTAGTAGTCGTGTCTTAATGGTTAAATACTTATCTGAGGTTGGTAGGAATTCCACGACATCTGCTGAAGGATAGGATGTCTGGTTCCAGTTGTGATATCACGTAGTGGAATTTCGTATTGTCACTAGTTACTTTGGCCACGTGCATAGCTGATTCTATTTGTATGACCCAGAATTTTGGGTTTTCTTTCCTGAACGGTGGAAGTTTATGTAGTGTCATAGTGCATATTTCTGATGTGCCTTCTGATGTGCCGATTTGTGGATTACGTGTGTCTTCTTTGTTCTCGTTTGGTCGTACACTATCTTGCGGGCTTGATGTTGCCATGTTTCTTTTAAAATTTTTATGTTATATTTATTATTGTTTCTTTTTTAAAATGACGTCGGTTTTTTTCTTCGACACAAACAAACAAAATATAATAAAATATGCGGATAGAATAATCAAATTAAAGTGAACGCATTACGTAACATAAATAGGAATTAGTTTGTGTATAAAAACGGGCTACAGTTGAAATGAGCGGTTGGTTAAAATTCATCAGAACAAGTTAACAGTAAATCAATAAATAAACAAATTAATTAAATATGAATTCAATCAGAAATTAAATGAAATATAAAATGAATAAATGAATTGGCAAAAACGCAAAAATAAATGTAAATAAATGAAATTCATTAAATTAAGAACGACAAATGAGATAAAACATGGTCCTAACTATAATTGTTGGTATTTATAAAAAATAAAATAAAAGAAATAGAAAACGGTGCAGATAGAAATCTCAACGATTGGTTTTATAATTTGTAAATCATTCGATATCAATTTTTGGCAGCAACAGTTACGCAGAGAGTATACAATTACACCGAATGTATACCACAAAGTATGCTTTGTAAACACTTTTGACTCGATTCGTTATCGTTAAAAGTAATCGCGAGAAATAGCTCTGAATTGTCGCAAAATGAAACAAAATTTTAAAGAATATAATAAAACGGAATAGAATAAGAAATAAATTAAAAATCGATGAAATATTACTTATTTAATTTCACGTATAATGATATGCTGAGCGTTATAATATTTTGCTGAGCGTTTGCTTTCCTTGGCAAATTTCAAATTGAAAATCGAAGATACTTTTGCCGTCGTTTGCTTTCTTTCATATTTTGTTATTATCGTCACCGCTGTTTCACTTGGTTAGAAGACTGCTACCATACCCTCCCCCTCCCTAAAACCCCACAATGTACAGCAAAGTGTTTGTACAAGGTATGCAATGAAACACTGAATGATATTAAATTAAAATAACTTTACAAACACCTGATTTTTCAATTTTTTATTATTTTATTTGAAAATATAATTAAAGAATTTTCAGTTTTTCAGTGGCCACTCTGCATTTGAAATGTAATTCTTTTTTTCTCGCATATGTTTTGAACTATTTGTACTTGTTGGTTGGGAGACACCTGTATCTTGTGTCTGGGATATTTTCTATTTGGAAATCTGTTTTTACTAAAAATGCTGCTTTTAGTCTTTCAACAAAAAAATTTTTTCTATCCAATTTAAAATGACGATGAATTTCCAATCGTATAATCCTATGTAGTCTTGAGTTTGGTCTTATTGGTGGTAGTATTTCATTACATTTAAAGAATACGTGGCTATGTTCGTAAAAATCTTTGTGTAACGTCATATGATGGGCTATCGATATTGGTCTTAACGTTCATATAACGTTGCAATGTTTTTTTTTTTGATTTTCAAAGATTTCTGGATCTATCACTGGATCTGTCTAATTTATAAAAGAAATCTTCCAAAATACATACTGTATTTCCAAAAAGCATTTCGGCCGGCAATGCGTTAATAACTTCATTATTAGTCTAGTGAGAAGCATCGATCTCTGAAATATATGAATTGCACGTTAACGTTGCCTTTCTACCAGACCACTGACTGCCGGAGGACATGGCACTATATTTCTTATTCTCTTGCTCCAACAGTATTCGCAAGTACTATAAAAAATGCATTTGACAGAAAGAGATGTATCAATCCATTTCTTAAAAAGTTTATTTGCTACTGTGGATGTCTGAATGACGCAGAAAATTTGTCAGAAACTGTAAGACAATACTGGTATTCTCTTACCCCAATCATGTGAATAATAACTATGATCAAATCTATCGTGTGACCAAATTTACTATGTGGTATATTAAACTTATATGGATTTAATTTATCACGTCTGCTTAATTTCATTATTTGGAATTAACCAAATGAATCTTTGCATTCACATCAGTTTTTCGAATGCAAAACCAGATGTATGTTTCTTGGAAATTTGTAAGAGATTTGACTGTTAGAATATTATAGATGTATTAGTTATGTTCAATTTTTCTAGACGATCGTACATATCCTATTTATATTATGTTTACAAAATGATAACATATTAGTAGTTGTGAGAAATATCTTTTCGAATTATAGCTGCCAGCTCTATGTTTTTCTTTTCTTCTTCGTGAACTTCTATGAGGCGAAGAAGTGGTGTATTCTTGATGAAGCATTTGAAGTAACATTATCATCTCCGTCAATATATACAATTTCTGTAAAAAATTTTGATACGAAATCTGACTGTCGTAGTTGTCTTGGTATTGCTTTGTCTAGATGTTGCATTAGCAATATAGCTGTTGTCGACGGCGAAGTCGCCGTCGTTGTTGGCGCTCTCGCTTTCATGGCGACCGCAGTGTTACTGATGTTCACTCCGTGTCCGATGGCTCCTGGAACTCGATTTTGGGGTCTTGTGCTTTTCCGAGGTCCGACTTGTCAAAATAGGCGATGGTCAAGCACTCCGAGGTGGGGTATTTCTCGTCAATGCAGTCGACCTGTCTGGTGGCGGTGACGTTGAAAGGCACGAGGACGCGCGCCGTCTTTCACATCGGTGAAGCCGCACACTGTGAACCCATTTGGTGATGGATGAAAGATGGTGAGGTTTAATGTGTTTTACTGAAACACTATATACTCTTTGATTGTCCCGTTTCCGTTCAGGCCAACGCCATGTTTGCGTAGCAATACGGGCACTTGTAGGTCTCTGGATGCGGGTATTCTAGCAGCACCAAACTGTTATTGTTATTTCTGCTTTTCATCACAATTACATGTTCAGTTCACTATCTTCAAGTTTAATTTTTCGCATAAAATTTCCGTGAGAGTTTTTCTGGCGGCTCGTAGTCGTCATTGCTTCTCCGCAGATCTGCAAATGAAAGCTTCGGGACGCACGCACATGTCTTCCATACACGTTGATCGGTGAAGCACTCCCTTGCACGCAGAGAGCAGCCACAGAGCATGAAAATGAACATAAAACCAGATAAATGAATAAATAAGTAAATAAATAAACGAATATGTGTATTGATGAATAGATTATAAGGTGGACTAGCGGGAACGGGCTGGTTTCACTTCTGGTTGTTCAAGAGCCATTTTCTAGAGGAAAAAACAGAGCGACTAGTAAAACAAAGGTACCACGGAACCTTTTAGATGGTTCGTACTCCGCAATCGCTCTTACGTACAAGAGGGAGGAGGAGGACAGCAATATCTATGGATATTCGCGGATCATGAGGCGACTCGCGGAAAGAGATGAACCTAATCTCATGGAATTGCTGGTCAAGAAGCGTTCAAACACTCGTGTACTTCCTTTTATCTAGTCCGCAACTGCCGCCGTCATCTAATCGTGTTACTCGCACAGTCGCTTACGAATGTCTTAATGACCGATATCTCCGAATAAACTCGCGATCACTGATCGAGGTCAGAATATTTGATCGTTTTTTTTTTTTTTGAAATAATTTATATAAGCTGTTCCCAGAGGATTGGCAATGCCGTGCCAATCCCTGACAGAGGTGGAGCGAGTTCCGCCGACTCCCCCTAATTTCAAAGATTAGTACTCTGACTTGCCTCTAGGAAGTTAATTAGACATTACACTGGTAAAAACAGATAACGTCATATTTCCTTCAGGGCAGGTACTCAAAGGGATAGTACAGTGAGCTAACAAAATACTAAGTTTCGTAGTTAATACAATCCAAAGAAGGCTACTCAGCCGCCACTCTTAATGTCAAAGGAGAAAATGCCCGCACCGTTTCGGTGTTTGTCTCGCAGTAACACAAGGTACAGAATTAACATTTACAAGGTACTGAAACACAGAGATATAAAAATATAAACCAAAATACACAAAATACGAGATTCACTAGCAGTTAATAATGATAATGACAATGATAATAATAACAGGCTAGCGACAGCAAGAGTGGCTTGGAGAACGCAGGTTTGGAGTGGGGAAATACTATTATTGCAAGTAGTGGCCTGTGGGATCTTACGCATGTTAAAGAGGATGACGAGTCTCTTGCATTTAAAATATAAAGGTGGTTTATGATGCAATTACACGCTAGTTATGAATGGAGTTTGAGGGGAAAGAAGAATGGAAGAGCGGGGTCGAGTGGGATGAGGTATTCTCGTCGTTAACACAGCGGCGCAGCCTCATGGTTGATCAATTTCATATTCCCATTCGCATGCTAATAACATTAATAGAACAAGTAATAATGATGATAACAGTAATAATAGTAATAGCAATAGTTACAAAGTGATATTAATAATAATGTGGTCGACAACGTAGGCGCCAACTTCAGTATGGTCGTCGGAGATAGGTATGGTCGCACACCGTCCACAGTGGATTTTAAAGCAATTTAACGCGAGACAAAAAGTTTGTGTCACTCGAGAATGTCAGTCGCCCTCTCGAGCGAGCTAGAAAAATATCTGGAGACGTCTCCCTCGGTTATTCCAGATTTTCGAGATATCTACCTCGTCTTCCAACGCCGACTTCGCAGAACTCGCGGTCGTCAGGTTATCAACATTTTGAACGCGAGGGTGGTAACATACGCTATATTTATGAGTTCAACTTCCTGCTCTGTGAAGCTGGGAAAGTGTCGGCAATTATTATGGGGAAAGAAATTTAAAATCGCTATAGCGAATTATTGACGAATGCTTTATATCGAAAGATGAATATTGGATGGATGACTGACTTCAAAGGACGATTCTCGGCATGATGGCTATCAATGAATGACCGCTACTGAGCAGAGAGCTAACATCAAAGGTCGTTCCCTGGCCTGACGCCTATGACCGATTGATCGCATCTCAGACTGATAGTTATCATCGAAGACGGCTCTCGGACTTATGTGTGAGATGGATAGATCGGTTCTCATGTCTGATGGCTAACATTGAAGAAAGTCTCTCGGCCTGACGGTCATTGAAATATCACATGTCAGCCGAAAGGCTAGCATCAAATGTCGTTTCTCGAGCTGAAAACAAATATCGGATTATCGCTTCTCGGCCTGATAGCAAATATCTAATGAGGTTCCTGGCTCAGATGGCTGAAATCGATTGATCGCTTCTCAGCCGGACTGCTAACATCGAAGTTCGTATCCCTGTCCGATGCCTAAAATCAGATGACTGATTTCGGGCAGAGGAGTAACTGCTCAGCCTGGTAGTATACATCTAATGACGTTCCTTGCCCTGATGCCTAAAATCGAATGATAGAATCACATCTTGATGACTAACTTCGAAGAATGCTTTTTGGCCTGATAGATAACATCGAATGAGGTTTTTCGCACCGAAGGCTAAGATCGAATGATCGCTTCCCAGCCCGATGGCTAACATCGAAGGACCGCATATTAGCCTGACTGCTAAGATCGAAGTTCTGGTTCCTTGTCCTGATGACAAATATTAAAAAATCGCTTTTCAGAAGAGCTTTTCAGAACATGGATATATGTTCCTTGGCCTGATGACTATGGTCGAGTATTCGATTCGCAGTCGAAAGGCAATCATCGAATGTCCTTTTTCATCCAGATGGCTAAGATGGAATCATCGCTTCTTATCTTCGTCGCAAACATCGAAGTAAGTTTATCGGCCTGATGGCAAAGATGGATTGATCGCTACTCAGCCTGATGGCTAACAGACTTTTTCGGTCTGGTGGCTATAGTCCAATGATCGCTTCACAGCCGAACGTCTAACATGGTAGGACATTATCCGGCCTGATATCAATGATCGAATTATCACTTGTCAGCCAGCTGGCAAAGATCGAAATTCTTGCCTGATGGCTGTGATAGAATGGTTACTACTCAGCCGAATGGCTAACATCGAACCTCGGTTTGAATGC